ATACCCACCTAATATCCGGTAATATCCTTCCTTGCTCTTCCTCTAATGATTTGTGACTTGTTGGACATATGTTGGTTGGTTGGATGACTTTCTTTCTTTTCTCCTCCCATGGATTCTTTGGTTTAAAGTTTGAGCATGTTGCCTCATTCAAGCTTGGGGGAGGGTATTCTATCATGTTTGGTGGAATTTTGATTCATATATTCCATGCACATTTGTATATGCATTTCCATTTTCTTTATTTTGAAAATTCCAAAAAGATTTTGTTTCTATCAAGGCAAATTTGCAATGTGTTTTGTTTTGTTCTTACTTTTGACATAATATGCTTGGACTTGTATTCTTGAATGTCTTTATTCCTAAATTATAAAGGTATGCACCGTTTGAGAATGTGTTAGGTTGACTCTAGGATATGATATGCTAAGGTAGTTGTTAAGAACTTTGAGACCATGAAGCCCTAGTTCACTTGCTTGTGGTAAGATGGAGTTGCTCTCTATGGTGGATATGAAATCAAGAGTTAGTTATTGCTATCCCTAGTGAGGTAAATTGTTCAAGCCTTCATCATACTTTGTTGAGCGGCATATTTGGATCCTTGGCTATTGCATTCTCGTATCTAGAACTTGACTTTTAGCTCCCAAGATCGCGACCGTGCCACTTCAGGGGATGACAAAGGAATTTCTCTTTTTATAGGATAGATTTTCTATTTTTGAGTTTAGTTTATATTTGCCCCTCTTGCTAGCCCTTTTGAGCCATATACCTTCTTTTCTCTAGCCACAATACAAGCCTTGAAGCCTTGGTTTCACTTTCTACCTTTAGTTTTGTGAAGCAATTTAGTTTTCGAGCTTGTTTTATTGTTTATGGTGCAAGTTTAGAATTATGAGTTTATTTGCAAAGCAAGTATGTGTTGTATATAAGTTTGTGCATAAAAGCAAATTCATTTTGAGAAAAAGTCGTCCAAAGTTAAAGAGGCAAGGACTTTTAAATGAAAAAAAAGGTAAAAGAAGAATGAAAAGCACAGAATGATTTTGTTATAGTTGTTTTTTTTTTTCCCTATTTTTGTTAGTTTGTTTTAAATAAGCTTTGGGGAAATTTATTTTTATGAGCATAGTTGGTACTTTTGTTTTGGATTCGTTTGGATCTTGTGGAAAAAGTTCCACCCGAGCTTCACATGTAGGTTTACCACCAATTTCAAAAGTTTTCCACACCTTTACTCTCCTAGCCTGTGTATTACAACCTTGAAAGTCCTTTTGATCCTAGAGGGTTAAGTCATTTAGTTGTGGCAGGAAATAGGAATCAAGCCTATAGAGCGAGTTTGCATAGCCAAGATGTTGGGTAACCTTTTCATGTTTTGAATTTCTTACTTATTTTCCGGTTCCTTCGTGGAATCATGAGAAGCTAACTTGAAAGTGGATTTGAAACTTGTAGAGAGGTTGTGGTTTGATTAGTTGGAACAAAAGGTGGAATATGTTTCCGTTAGTTCTCTATGCTTAGCATATGCTATGTTTCAATCAACCTTGGACATCTTAGAACGTGCATACCTTTATTTTTTTTAGAAAGATTGACATTCTTTAGTGCTTGTTCCATTGTAAAAATCCACTTAAGAACGCTTGTAACCTCTCTTTTACTTCAATTTATTTTATCTATTTGTTTATTGCTTTGCCTTGATTTTTGTCAAGAGTTATGGGTTAAACTCTTAGGATACCCTTACGAGAGCATACTCGTCCTCTAGAGCGATCTATGGGGTTTAAAGTGCTTGATGCATGCGCTAAATGCATTCGTGATTCCTACGAAAGTGAGTTAGTGTATATTCTTTCTCTTCTAGTTTTATTTTATTTTATTGTTTTTTTTAAAAAAAAAAAAATATACATCGTTTTCCATTGTGTTTGTTTTGTTTTGCTCGAGGATGAGCAAAAGTTAAGCTTGGGGGTGTTTGATGAGTGACATTTATGTTACCCTTAGGGGTAGTGTATTGGTCTCTTTTCTCCTGTTTTTCTTTGGTTTTTCTACCTCTTTTCTCCTCTTATGGCTTCCTTTTCTTTTATGGATGAAAAGTATGCTTATTTGCGCTTGTTTTGATAATCTTTATGCATAATTTTATTATCCCCATGCTCTCGTGATCTTTGCTATCTTTTGCAGGTTCCATGACGGTCCTAAGCACGGTAGGAGGCCCCTTGGCCAAGTATGGAGGCATGGACAAAGACAAGAGGAGAAAAAGGGAAGAAGAGGAAGCAAGAAGAGGAAGTTCAAGAGGAGGTGTGGCCGAACCTCTAAGAGGTTCGGTCGAACCAAGGTGTGGTCAAACTTTTGAAAAGTTCGACCGAACCTCTAAGGCAGTTCAACCAAGTTTTCAGCATGTTTACAGGAGGGGTCGAACCAGGAAAGTTCGACCAAACAAGGATCAGGGAGGTTCGACCGAACCTACCCTGAGTTCGGCCGAACCTACCCTGAGTCCGACCAAACCTACCCAGAGTTCGGTCGGACCTTTTCCCGTTTCAGCTGACTTTTTGCGGAGCTTCCTAAGCAATTTTGTAAGGGGTATAAATAGTTTTTTTGCTCATTAAAGAAAAAGATTTTTCAGTTTAGAATAGATTTTAGGTTAGTTTTAGGTTTTAGAGAGAGAAACTCTCAAAATTTTAGAGAGAGAAAGTGAGGAGCACAATGGTTTTCATGGATTTTGGATAATCAAATGAGGAATTTGAAGATCTCCACCTTATATCAATGAGCATTTCTTACTTTCTCTTCTCTTATTGCTTTATTTAGTTGCTTTCATTATGCTTGAGTAGTTTCCCTTCTACTAGGTGTTGAGTGAGACTTTGTAATGATTATTTGAGTTATTTGAGATAAATTTGATGATAATTGTGTGATTAAATTGATTGAATTGATGTTGGCATGTTGTTTGTTTTAGATTGGATTGATCTCCCATGATAGCACACTTAATTGCATATTGGTTTTAGTTTGACAAGGGATTGTGAATTAGAATTGATATATTTGATTGCATTTTGGGTAATTTTCTTCTATGCACCTAGTCAATGAGGGATCTAGGCTAGGAATTTGAGAGATTACTTTTGAGTGTAGTTAATTCTCATTATAATTCTTTCTTTGCATGATTGATTATCAAATGGATTCTCATTAGCTTATTAATTGTTCTAAGTGGATCTTTTCCCCTAGTAGACTTTATCATACCTTGTTCTTTATATGTGTTTTAGTGTAGTTGTAGTGTCCTTTATCCGTAAATCGACTTCGGCATAGCTTAGGCATTAGATTAAGAACAATCTAGCATTACCGTTCCTTGTGGTTCGACTCCGAACTTACCACTAGACTTGTTTAGGGGTTAGTTTTAGGATTTATAAATTTATTTGATTGAGTGTGGAATGTGCGACCGTTCTAACGCCCGTCACTCCCTCAACGAGGATTAGAAGACGGCAAGGGAGTGGTATCTTTTAGATGTTAAGCCTACTGTTGCTGTAGCCGGATAGGCGATGGAGGCAAAAGAGTTTGACAATGTTAAGGACCCTGATTCACCCCCTCCAGCAGCCGCAATGAAAAGAAAAACTGAATAGCTGGTGGAGGTGTAGAAGGAAAAGAAATAGCAATCACTGACCGAGGAACGGTTAGATGATCTCCGTCCCCAGCCGGCAGGTGAGCACATTGATATTCCTCTAGATGACAGCCGGCCAGAGTGAAGTGTTAAGGTGGGGGCGGCTGCCTATGAAAGGCTTGGTGCAGATTTACACCTTATGTTGAAGAAATTCAAGGACATTTTTGCCTTTGAAGTGGAAGAGATGCCAGGCATCAGCCCGGATCTTGTTGTCCACAAACTCGCCGTGGATCCAAAAAAGAAGCCCATGCGGCAAAAGAAAAGAAATCACGGCGAGGAAAAAAGTTAGGTGGCAGCTGCCGAGGTCAAAAAGCTGTTAGACGCCAGGTTCATTCGGCCATGTAACATCCATGATTGGGTTGCGAATGTGGTTCTTGTAAAGAAGCCGAATGGTACTTGGCGCATGTGTGTTGACTATACTGACTTAAACAAGGCATGTCCAAAGGACAGTTACCCGATTCCAAAGATCGACAACCTTATCGACTCCACAGTCGGGCATGCCTTGATGAAATTTATGGATTCTTACTCCGGCTGCCATTAGATACCCCTGTGGAAAAAAGATCAAGAGAAGACGACCTTCGTCACTAATCAGGGGCTATTCTGTTATACGGTGATGCCGTTTGACTTGAAGAATGCGCCGACTACTTTCCAACAGATGATTAATACAATCTGCATTAATAAGATTAGGAGGAATGTAGAGGCGTATATTGATGACATGATAGTCAAATCCAAGCTGAAGATGTATCACCTTGATGATCTCTGAGAAACCTTCACCACATTTAGGCGACATAAGGTCATGTTAAATCCCTAAAAATGTGTTTTTGGTGTTGAGTTTGGGAAGTTTCTCGGATTCCTTATTGATTAAAGGGGGATAGAGGCTAACCTCGAGAAGATCTAGGCGGTGATTGACATGAAGTCACTCCGCACTGTCAAGGAAGCTCAAAGGCTTACCGGTTGTCTGGCTGCGCTTGGGAGATTCCTCAGCCGGTCAGGTGACAAATGCCTTTACTTCTTCCAAGCAATCAGGAAGAAGACTAGATTTGAATGGGGAGATGATGCTGAGGCTGCCTTTCAGAAATTGAAAGAACATTTACACTCCTTGGCGAGGCTTGTTAGCCCTCTGCAAAAGGAGACGCTTTTCATGTACCTAGCCTTCTCAGATCATGCCACGACCTTCATCACTGATCAGGGGTTATTCTGTTATACTGTGATGCCGTTTCACTACTACAAAAAGTGGAAAAAGACCCCTAATTAGAGACCCGTTATCTTAACTAACAGGTATGTTTGATGTAAGAGATCCTTTAATAGAGATAACGGGTCTCTTATAAGCCCTTGGGCCCTTAACTTTATTGATAGGAGTGAGATGAGAAACCCATTGTAAGAGCAACGAGTCTCTTACCTTCCTTTTTCACTTCTCAATTATTTATGCGTGTTGTTGTACCATCCTTTTGCTCAATCTCTCTCCTCTGCATCTCTTTTTTTATCACTTCATCAACGACTTCTTCCTTTGCTAATTTGTTTCCTCCAAAACTCATTTCTCATTCGCCTCCTATTTATGGCTTCATCTCCTTATTTTCCACCTTCATCAACGACTTCTTCGAGCATATGCATGCTCCTTGTATTTTGAAAAGTCTCCACCTTCAAGATCTCTCTTTGCTTATCCTTCGACGACAGTTTCAAAGTGCTTTAGTGCAATTAGATCTAGATTTAATCATTCAAGGTACAATTTTTGTGAATTTCACTAAGGTTGTTCGAAATTTATTGTTTTTTTCTGGGTTGCTTTGGGTTAGCGATGGTGGTGGGTAGATGTTTTTGGTTTGTTTTGTGAGTTGTGTTTTCGTTTGATTTTTGGTTTGTTTTTGTGATTTGGTTTTTGTTTAATTTTACATTTTGTTTTGGAAATAATGAAAACAGGTTTGTGATTCTTTTTATACTCTCGAATTCTAATTTTCATTATATTGATTATAATCCTTTTGTTGGATCTATTGAAATATTATGTGATTGTGTAATTTGTGCTCTAATCATTGAGATAGATCTAGAGTTTTAGAGAAAAGGTCAGAAGATCTATATAAGAAAGGTCCGAAGATCTATATCAGAAAGGTCCGAAGATTGTGTAGTAGAATTTGCAGTTTTTTTTTAAAGCTTTAGATTGTTTTTGGCGGTGAGGCAGTGGCGGCAGCTAGGGTATTTAGGAGGGTTGGGCCGTTAAGGATGGTTTATACTTTATATGGGTGTGGAGGTAGTCTAGTCGTGTTGAATTGTTGGTGTTCTGGTCTTTATCTGATTTCTTGATTTTTTTTTAGTTTGAATGTTAAATTAGATTATTGCTCTTTATTTTACTGAACATTAACTTGTTTATGGGCTCTTAATTTAGCAAGCTATATTTTAATTTCATATAACTGCATAACATTTTGCATAATTGTTCCTACTACTATTATATTATTGGGCATAATTATTCCTAATATTGTTTATATCATTGAACAGGTTATGCTATTGATAATCATGGAAGGAATACAGAGTACAAGATACACTATTAATGTATGGTTGTATGGAGTATATACTTGTAAATTATTTAATAAGCTACCAATTGTAAATTTTAGTAATTATTTTGTAAATTTCAATAATTAATCTATGTTGGTTTGTTTAATTATATATTCAAAGTTTACATTTTATTCAGTTAATTCAATAACGCAATGAAATTCAAATTTCAAAATATTATATATAATAAAAAAATCACGAGAAATTTTTTTTTTTAAACAAAAAAAAAGAAGAAAGAGACCTGTTATATCGCATATGGGGTCTGTTTGATACCCCACCAAAAAGACCCATTATGTTGGATAACGGGTCTCTTATCCTTATAAATAATTTTTCAATTTACTAGTCTGACAAACCTGACTTCTTAATTAACGGGTCTGTTATTTTTTTTAAAACATACCCCTCCAAAGAGGCGGTTTGTTTGTCTGACAAACCCCTTAGATAGAGACCCGTTGTTTGGCGGTTTGTAAAGCTTTTTTACACGGGTCTCTTTACTACTTTTTGTAGTAGTGTTTGGCTTGAAAAATGCACCGGCTACATTCCAACGGATGATTAATACATTCTTCAGTAATCAAATTGGGAGGAATGTGGAGGCGTACATTGATGACATGATAGTCAAATCCAAGCAACAGACGGATCACCTTGCTGATCTCCGAGAAACCTTCACCACACTCAGGTGACATAAGGTCATGTTAAATCCCAAGAAATGCGTCTTTGGTGTTGAGTCTGGGAAGTTTCTCGGATTCCTGATTGATCAAAGGGGGATAGAGGCTAACCCTGAGAAGATACAGGCGGTGATTGACATGAAGTCACCCCACAGTGTTATGGAAGTACAGAGACTAACCGGTTACTTGGCGGCATTGGGGAGGTTCCTCAGCCGGTCAGGTGACAAATGCCTTTACTTATTCTAAGCAATCAGGAAGAAGACTAGATTTGAATGGGGGGATGATGCTGAGGCGGCCTTTCAAAAGCTGAAAGAGCACTTGCACTCTTTGCTAAGGCTTGTTAGCCCTCTGCCCAAAGAGACGTTATACATGTACCTAGCCATGTCAGACCATGCCCTTAGTGCTATTCTCCTTGTTGAGAGAGACGACATCCAGCTCCCGGTCTATTTCATTAGCCATGTGCTAAAAAATGCTGTAATCCGGTACCCATGGTTGAAAAATTTAGCCTTGCTCTGTATATGGCATTCAAGAAGCTGAAGCCGTACTTTTTGGCACATCTAGTTGTAATTTACACCGATCAGCCCCTCAAGCGGCCAATGTCTACCTTGGAGTCATCCGGTAGAATGTTGAAATGGGCTATTGAAATGCAAAGTCTTGAAATCACTTTTGAACCAAGAAAGGTAGTGAAGGGTCAGGCGTTTGCCGACTTCATTGTTGAAATGACACGACCGGTTCCTCCAGATAACATTGATCAGGTTCAGAAAGTGTATGTAGACGGGAGCTCGACAAAGAACGGCTGTGGTGCAGGAATTATATATCCCTTGAGGGGGACAAATTTGAATATGCACTACAGTTTAAGTTTCAGGCCTCGAATAAAGAGGCGGAATACAAAGCCTTGCTAGCCGGAATATGCATGTGTAAGGCGGCAGGAGCAACAAAAATTGACGCCTACTCTGATTCGCAGTTGGTCGTAAGCCAGTATGAGGGAAAATATGAGGCAACTCATCCAACTATGATCAAATATCTTCAGGCAATCAAAGAAGAGGCTAGGGCACTTGGATAATTCCGTCTGAGGCAAGTGCCCAGGTCAGATAACAACCAAGCGGATTCATTGTTTAAACTGGCATCTTCCACCTGGTTTGATACGCCTCAGTCAGTGTTTTGGGAAGTTCTAGAAAAAAGAAGTATATATGAAGAACCCATTGGAATCTTTGACCGAAGCTCCACCTGGATGGATGGCATCCGGGCATATTTGACAAACGACACGCTTCCTGATTCACAACAGGAGGCAGCCGTTATGAAGAAACAAGCAGCAAACTTCGAGATGAGAAATGAAGAGCTCTTCAAGGCGGGTTTTTTGAAACCTTTATTGAAGTGTGTTACCCAAAAAAAGGGTAAAGAAGTTGTCGAAAAATTGCATGCGAGATACTGCGCCTCCCATATAGGCGGCAGGTCCCTAGCCGTCAGAGCCAGGCGGCACTATTTTTGGCCTACTCTTGAAGCAGATGCTAAAGAGTTAGTGAAGAGGTGTGACAAATGCCAGAAGTTTGGCAAGCTTATTCACCGCCCGGCTACTGATCTGACGGCAATCCACAGCCCAGTCTCGTTTGCTAAGTGGGGCATGGATATCTTGGGTCCTTATACGCCTGCACCAGGCGGAAAGCGTTATATTTTGGTGGCTGTGGATTACTTCACCAAATGGGTGGAGGCTGAGCCGGTCAAAAAATAAAGACAAAGGATGTCATCTCTTTCATTTGGAAGAACATCATTACCGGTTTGGGGTACCTATGTCTACGGTGTTCGATAATGGCCCTTAGTTTGAAACGTCTCACCTTAAGACTTGGTTGGGAGATCAAGGGATCTCACATTGTTTTGCATTAGTCGACCGACCTTAAGCAAATGACCAAGTTGAAGCTTTCAAAAAGCTTATCTCAGACGACATTAAAAAGAAAATTGAGAGAGCTGGTGGCTTATGGGAAGAAGAATTGATTCATGTCCTATGGGCCATCCGGACAACCGCCAAGGGGCAACCGGTGAAACCCCATTTCTTATGGTATACGGTGCTGAAGTCGTCTTGCCCATTTGTAGACACCCATTTGTGTCTCCCCAAAATCAAACCCGGTGATGAGTATCTTTCACGTCCAATCATAATCGAATGAAACGAAAGTGTGGAAAGGTTTGGTGTTGCGGAAAGTTTTAATTCTTTTCTTTTCTCTCTATTTTTGAAAACTTTATTTTAAGAAAACAGCCAATCCAGTTTGGTGGGTCCATGATATGGGTCCAATAGTGGTGTAGTTGGATGGGGCTTGCAAAGACCTTTCCAACGATATATTATAAGCCCAATTCCGATGAATATTGAGGAATTTATGGCCAATTTACTAAACTGGGCTCGGTTTGAGCTTTAAGTACGGCCCAATGATCTAGGGGAGGGCCTAATATGATTTATCATTCCTAATGTAATTAGGAATGGTTTTAGTCTTCTAGAACATTCTAGAAGGTCTTATCATTCTTAATTCAATTAGGATTCTTCAGAGTTTTAATTAGATCAAATAGCATTTTCGACTGAAATTATATTATTTTATCTTCCAGTACGAGAATTTTATCAGAATTTCGATAACGCGTTAAAAGCCAATTTGGCGTCCAACCCCAGGCCTTGGCGCCAGACGCCAGCCATTGGCGCCTGGCGCTAGCCACTGGTCTTGGCGCCAATGAGCCAGGGCTGGCGCCAAGTTAGTTTTGTGGTCTTCAGACTCTGTTTTGATAAATTGTCTTTTTTGGATGTTTTTCTCTATAAATATCGTATCAAAAACTCCGTTTTCAATAATCATCTACATCTATCGTTCACCAATTCTCTTTATTCTTAAGTCTTCATCAACTATCTTCATCATTCACCAATTAGCATTCATCTACAGTCAAATAATCCTTTTCATTCATCTCTATTCATTCAACTTTCATCAACATTCATTCATGCATTCTTAATATTTTACTTTTTTTTATACAAAATTCCGCATTCACAAGATCTAGAAACACCTAGCCATATTCGAAGTTGCTTTCGCCCTAGACGTGAAAGGTTTTAATTTCTGAGGGTTTGGTCCCAAATCTCTATTTCAATAATTTAATTTAATTGTTTTGATTATTATTTTCCTTGAAGTTACTAACGTGTGTATTTTGTTATTAGAAAGAGGCACGAGGCATCCAAGTAAGTACTTTAATGGTTTAATTGATATTATGATATAGATATCATGCTTAGATTGTTATTTTGATTCTTAGTATCATGTCTAGGATAAATTTAATATTAAGTATGATTAAAAGTATGATGCTTCATATATTCTCTTCCTAATATTTATAATTATTTATTATGTTGCTTGATTATTATTTTATTGCTTGATCACACATTTTATGCATGCTTAAAGGGAAATTGGTACTTGTAACCACGCTTAATAAGATAATTAATAATCTTGTTAGGTTAATTGTGATTATAATTCAAGTGATCGCCAATAATAGATTATATTCAACCAACATAGATTAGACAGGTTTAGGGTTAATCCTATTGATTGTATGTTAATCAGAAAGCGCACATGAATACGAGCAGAATAAAGTAGAGGCCTATTATTAGGGCAGGTTCAATCTCTTTTAGGTTGGATTTGTACCATCATCCCCGGACCCTTATTTGGTTCATGACCTTATGGAGTTGACGATCTCTTGGATCGTTAAGGGGTGTAACCTTTATCCTCGTGAATGGTTTAGAAGTTACTTAAAAACTTGTTGGCGACTCATTTGCTCTATCTTCTTCCCTTTTGGACGCCACCGTACTTTAGCGTATGATCACAATGGGGTTCAAGCTAGTGGGATTTTTAAAATCTTGAAACTATTCCCTACACCATTCAACATTACGAGCCGACTCTCAGAGTCATGCTTTATGATGAAGAGGCAAATTAGGAGGCCATACGGCTGACATTAGACTCCCTCCTTGAACGCCGGGGTAATGCTTCCCTGCGTAATGAGATATACCTTTTGACAATGACGAGAACCTACAACAAGAAAGTACACAAGCGCCCTTTGAATGTTGGCGACTTTGTGTAACGAAAAATGGAGGCAACCGGTAGGGCCAATAAGCTTGGAAAGCTAACCTCCAATTGGGAAGGCCCCTACCGAATCTATGAAGAAGTTAGGGATGGACCCTACCGCCTGGAAACCCTAGACGGCAGACGCTTGCCTAGAACTTGGAATGTAGATAACTTAAAAAAGTACTACTTCTGAGGATTGTAAATTTTTGTAAACAAAGAGTCTATTAATGAGAAATCAAGCTTTTTTTTTTCAAATCGTTTTGTTATCTTTATAATTACTTTTTCGTCTGGGCAATACTCACACGGATTATTTGCTAAAACATTTAAGTTTGATACTCAGTGGTGAATTCAACGTTCAAATAACACGCGACCAATGGCCAGATTGAAAAACTAGGCACAAAAATG